AAGAGTGTCATTGCAGCTATTTGCACTGTGCTCCTGACAGCCTCTGTTTTTCTCCTTTCCTTTTCCCCTTCATTTCTCTTTTTGACCTGTGCTTCCTTCCTCCCTTTTGTTCTTCAGGGAAGTCCTTGAACATATGTCATGGAGCATCTTTGTAGAGACAGGAAAGGGAAGGAATGAGAAAGTGTCTGATGATTAACAAATGATAGGAAATATTCCACATGACCATACACATACAGCCCCTGGTCCAGGTTTCCATGGTCAGTTTGAGGCAGTATTTGCAACACAAAAAAGCAGTTTAAAACCTATGTGAATTATAAAAATGAAGCCTTCTCTTGAGTGTTACAAAGCCAAGGCTTTGCTCTGAAAACTTCTTAAGCAAAGTGGTTAATTAATATGGAAATCTATTGGTACATAAAATATGTAGCCTGTATAATGCTTTACAGAGTTGCCAAGAGGGAGGCTAATCAACACCTTCCACAGTGCTGAAAGTGTGGTATTGCTGCTCCTCGAGATTAAAGATTTATTTTTAGTGGCATGGTGTAAGTATTTGCAGAAATTCATGGACGTATCTATGATGTACATACGATCGACTTGCAAATGAGTACAGGCAGTCTGTGTGTGAACAGTGTGGGCACAGACATCCTGTGAAATACCTGTAGATGTTCATCATGCCCTGGACCATGCCCAGACCTGCTCTTCACCGTGTCATCGCGGATTTAGCGGGAGAAACATGAATCTCAGGCTGCTGGGAATGGGCAGAACGCACAGCCCGTGGGCTCGGCGGGGATATCTCCCCAGCATTCCCCACCCTGAGTCACAGCCTGCTCTGCACCCTCAGTGTGAGGAGGCACAGTGTGGGCTCCCTGGGCCTGCCCACCCTGCCTCTGCCAGCCCCACTCACACATCAGGGATTCTCAGCAGTGCTGCCAGCACAACCAGATACTGGTGAAGTGATCAGACTGCAGCGTACACACCACCCCTTCCCTCCTGTGCAGCTGGGGACTGCAAGCTTGTCTTTCCTGCAGGCTACCCCAGCCAACATTTTGAGTAGTGGAGCACACAGACAGGAGTTGGCAGCACTACCCAGCACTCACCTCTCAAAGTTGCCTGGGGACTGGTTGAAGTAGATCAGCCCAGTGTAAGAATTTTGTTTGCTAAAACAGGATCATAAAATGAGCAATAAGCTAAGTGGACTTTTGCAACTGCAGTTCTGTAAACAGAGCCAAGGTTGCTAGTAGGCATCATTTAAAAAAAGACATGACTTGGAGGCTTTAGATGAGGTTGTGGCCTTGAACTCTGCAGCTGAGTTGGCAGTTCATGGTTCTTCTCAGGTACAGCTTTGCAGTCTTCCCAGGCTTTGGAGGAGATAAAGGAGATAAAATGCAATTGGGTTCTAAATTACTAATAGGAGTCTTTTTAGTTTTGGAGGTTTTTTTCTTAAACAAAAGAAAAATGTGCTGCCTCACCCCAAAACTGTGCATTATTTTTGCATGGTATTTAAGAACTGAATGCTGTACTTGTTGATTTTTGTGCTTCTAAACCCTTCAGCCATACTTAAGTTACTCATTAGAGTATACACAAGTTTTATACATACAGAATGTTCCACTCCAACTACATAACAATAATCCTGTGTCTTAACTGCTCTTGAAGCACGTTGCCAAATATGGCTCTCAGAGTTTCTACAATGGCATGATTTTGAGCTGGTTGAATAAAACTGGTTGAGCTATTTTCAAGAAGTTCTAACCCACTGCTATTTCAGCATTTTCTTACTGGGAGCATTATTTTCCCTTGAGCTCTCTCTAGAAGAAGCAAAGAAACTACCCCAAAGCAAAACCAGAGTGCTGTAGACAGACATGCAGACAGCAGGCAGAAATGAACTTTTTCTGGAACTGTAGAAGTTTGTTTTGTACAGATTTAACAATCTTCAAGTTGTAAGTTGGAGAAATTGCTGTTTCTGGAGCTGGTAATTGCACAGTTCACCAGTGTTAGAGAGAAACAGAAATCTGTCCCAAGTAGGTGAAACTGTAGATATCACACTGTGGTTTTTACAGATATGTCTAGGAAAAGAGCACAAATATTCTATGCTGGTTTTCATCTTTTATCAGTTAATGCAGAGTAGCATGCTCAGAACCCGTAGTGATTATTTGTTTCTTCAGGGGATGAAGCATAGCTGGACAATCAGAAAAGCATTAAAGGTTTAATGTATGTGGTTCCCCATGTAACAGTTTGAATGGCTCTAAATTTCTGAAGATGCAAAACATAATGCAATAGTGAACAAGAACTCCTCCAGCTTCTGTTAGTATATTCATTAGCTTTTTTGAGGCATATGTGAGTGTTGCCTCTGTGTGGAGCATATTCATTGCTGGCACTTGATTTACTGGCAGTTTACCTGTGTGAGAGATATGAATATGTGCATGCATGTAAAGGAGGCTCCCAGTGATGGTGGAGATAGCCATGTATATGTATCAGAGGGTAGGACCTGGCTCATCTGTGCACCTGAAATTCTGGCTCTCCCATGCTTAAGGAGAGCAGAGATTGCTGCACACAGAACATCCCAGACTCCCTCTGAAGGGAGGTGTTGATGCTCTAAAGCATGTAAATGTGGGGTTGTCTTCTCCCTCAGACAGGTATGTTGTTTTTTCAAAACAAGTGCTTACACTTGAGAACTAAGGAAACTTTGTTCAAAGTGCTACTGAGTACTTTCCAGCTGCTTGGGCAGGCTCTGGATGTAGGAGCTTTGCATGGTGATGTTGTGTGTTGAGGGGGGAGGACACACAGGACAGTGACAAATTCCTGCACACAGCTTTGGTTTTCTGAGCATGGTCTGTACTGTACCCCCACCTTGGGCACAGGTCTTGGGCAAAGGAGTATGAGCTGCAGTTTTGAGGATGAACTGAACAATATTAGCATAAAGCAAGGAAATGAAGAGAAACTTTCAATGCTGTGTATATAAACACATACATATGTGCATTTGTAGGTGTATGTGTACGCAGAATCATATCAATTCCTGAAAAACAAATTAAACGATCTTGAACTCTGTCATAAAGCAGAGTGGCTGTTTTTGGTAGTCTTGTGCTGCCAGTCTTACCCAGACTGGGCAGCACTGGTTTCCCTGATGCTGAGAGGAGCTCAAGTCTGCCCTGGTGGGCTGATGCTTCAGCTGAGGCAGCAGTGCAGGGAGAGTGGTTTGAGGGGTGCTGGGCCCAGGCTGTGAGTCAGCAGAGGATCTCTGGGTCAGAAATGGGGCTGGAGGCTTTGGGAGTGACTCAGCCCTGGCTCTCAGCCTCGTCTCACCACACCAGCCACACTGGTGTGCCCACAAATGATAAAACAGGGGTGTCTTTATCTGCCAAGCCCCTTCCGCTCCTCTCCATGCTCTCACTTCCAGAGACTGTCAAATGAATGCCTAGGGAGTTAAGAAAACCTACTTTGCCTGGCACTCTCCTTCCCCCAGAGCTGGGAAAGAGAAAGGTGCTCCTGGACTGCTCTGGGTGCTGCCACGTTCTGGAGCCCAAGTGTGGTCAGCAGGACCAGGAGTGGCTACCAGGTCTCTCTCCTCCTTGTTAGGTAGGAATTGGCTTCCTACCAGTCCCCAGTTGTTTACAAACATCCTATTCTCCAGTCTTGCTTCTCATGGTAAATGAGGCAGGTTTGGTTCTCAGTGTCTTCCCACCTTCCTCTGCAGTGCTAAACAAATACTTGTCTCTTAATTAAGCAAATCATCCAGCAGGTAGAAACCTGCAGGCATGGTGGCTACATTTCTCCCCAAAGTGCTGACATTTGTTGGTCCTTGCAGAGACATTCAGCTGCTTTTTGTATGTGTGTGTTGTTTGCTTGTTTGGTTTTTTAAATCCAAACATACAGTGATAGAAGAGAACTTGTATGTGTGTGTTGTTTGCTTGTTTGTTTTTTTTAATTCAAACATACAGTGATAGAAGAGAATAGACAGCTGTTGGATTCTACTGTCTGTTCTGTCAAGGTTCTGGGAATATTAAGGGCCACTATTCCACTGAGTTCTTAAGTGGCACCCAGGTGTGTTTGGAATGCTCAAAGACAAGCTCTTTATTTTGGTCTCTGTGCTTCTTTTAGGACAGAGCACCTCAAACCTTGCACTGGATTTGCATTGTAAATTTATTTTAAAGAATTTGAATAAGCAACTTCTCTTTCAAAGCAGTAGAAAATATGGGACTAATGAGAGGTAAGGAAGATTTGTTTGACACGAGGGGAGAAGCAGCAAATCACCTATGAACACGCAGTGAAGCCACAGTTGTTGAACAGTCTGTGCACTCATTTCTCTAAGGGTTTCTGGAGAGGGGATGGGGAGAAGCTTGGGTGATGACAGGACCCACAGCAGACAGTTCTCTGAAAACCAGACAAAGTATTTGACTCTTTGAGATGTGTTTGCAGCTGAGATTGGGCCAAATTACATCAGCAAAAGCAAATGTTTGGCATGTGGTTTGGTAATGAAATCACTCTATTTTTATTGTCCTGGAGACATTTCCACAAACACACATTTTTTTCAGCTTTATCAGTCATGAAAAAGCAATGAGGCCTGGCCAAAGTAGTATAATCAGGCAGCCTAAATCAGACTTCTAAGGCATTTGGGAATTAAAATGTTTTTGGCTTGCAAGACGACAGTAGCTTTACATCTGTACTTTAACAGCACTGTGCTGATTTCCCTCTCCCTTCCTTAATGGTTTTGCAAGTAATCAAGAGAAGGGAACTGTTCCACCCTGACCTGATTTCCTAGATATCCTATAAAGATTCCCACAGGGAGTGACAGCCAGTTACTTTCACACAAAACACCACTATTGTCACCACAAGTGGCTTAATGAAGTCTGAGTGAAGCAGAGGGTTGTGCCAGGGTGTGTGGCTGTGTGGAGCAGCAGAG